GCGGTCAGGAGTGTGTGTGTGTGTGTGTGTGTGTGTGCGCGCGCGCATGTTCATGGATGTGCACCTGTGAGTGAGCAGCTAACACAATACACCTCTGTCCACTCTCTCTCCTTGAATCAAAGCTGCTCTTCATAATGAATGTTAATTGTAGATCTTGGTTATCAGGGCCAGCAGAATCAGCTGCTGCCTTTGAGAGAAATCCCTATTTTGCATCTCAAAAGATGACTGGGAAGGCAGAAAATAAGATTCTCCAGTCTTTTATGGTTTAATTGATGCATTCATTAATTTGCAGAACAGTTACCAGTCTAGTACTTGGCAAGATTTCCTTTTTTATGTAGAAATCATTCATTGGACCGCAATAAACTGAAGACATAGTTACTGTATATATTGAAAAACCTAAATGAGCAGTGTTGGTTTGTTAAATCATTCTGTGTCCGTGACATAAACTCATCAGTTTAATTAGCTTTTATCTCCTTCTTCAAATCATTATCACTTAGTCTTGTATTTGACCGAAATTCTCAGAGGCAAGTGCACGGGGGCTTTTGCATGCCAAACAAATGTTGAAGGTCACATGCAGCTGTTTATCACTGCCCAAAGAATTGGAAGCACCAAGCAGACAGACAGATGGGGACAACTCCCAGCGGGCTCTGCAGAAAAATGCACAATTTTTCTTTCTTACTTTACGTTGTTTTCTACAGATAACAGACTAGGAACATTCAGTACCATGTCGATGTCGAAGTCATGGCTGTGGTTATGATGACACGCTTCTCAGCATGTTATAGAGTTCATAGTTCATGGATTGCTGGGTTTAAGGGGCATTGTCATTTGTGAGGGTGGGAGGTGGATGTTGGTAGCAGGACACTGATGTACTGTGGCACCTTCTCAAATGACATGCTCCTTATGAGGATGGTCTCATGGCCCCAATATTTGATTTGATTTGATTTGATTTATTCTTTCTTTCAAGCATGTAAAGACAGTTGATATGTCAACACACATAATTTTACACATAATCCAATATCAATTTGCTTATACCTAGTACATGCTTGAATGGAGTAGGAAGAAGTCAGACTTATCCAGTCCTACCCCATGACATCATCTTACCATCATTGGTTTGCAAGCAGTA